ATCAAGTTACTTTCTTAAACATTGGGGTTAGTTGCAGATCTTCACCTTTTCTGAGGTGCGTAACTCATTGCGCAACTGACATACTACTTATTTGGCGATAACCATATATAACAACATAATTTAGAAATCAGTATAACAACGGCATGACACGGGATACACATGTATACACGGGAAACGGTACAACAAGAGTTTATTGTTGTAAACAAAAGTCGTCTATTTGAATTCGTTGTCACGAAGCTTCCTACACTTATTGTCACTCGGTGATTATCTGGGAATTGTCCAAAGGCTATTTTGGCTTTTGGGACACATTTTCGTGACCAATGCCTCTTGTGAAGGGACAACTTTTACCGAGAAATTATGTATAAGAACCAGAAGGGGTGGCCGCTGTAGAAAGGAGACTTCTTCTGGAGATTCGGTCGTGATAAATGTCTTTCGGTTTCCGCGTTCGCATGAGGAGTGCTGGATCGGAGTAAGCACCTTACTTCCACAGTGCATCGCTTGTTATCTGACCGCTTACTATGTTGAAAAGAACCCACTTTAGCGAGTTATCCATCTCTAGGTTTACTACGTACAGCTACTCTTATGTACGTAGTGGATAACTCGCTAAAATGGGCTCTTTTCAACATAGTAAGCGGTCAGATAGCAAGCGATACACTTGAAGTAGAATGTGGTATTTTTATTGAGAATTTGGCTGATTTCTTTTTATTCCTAAGGGCGGTCGTAAACATTCCCATACAAACTCTTATAATTTTGCCATGACTCTTCTTTCGCAAGATGATCATCACACAGCTGGAGCTTGGGCCGCCTGTGTCTCGACTTACGGTCTGCAAATCCTCTCAGTCGTGCAAAGCAAAGAAAAGCTTGAAAAATGTTTTCTTGACATCTTGGATATTTGTAGCCGCCGAAGAGACGTGATCAAGAATACACCTATTCATTTATCCAATTTCAGAGCCGAATGGAGGAACATAAGAAATATAAAAACGTTGTCTGCCGTATCGAAATGGAAGATGAACAAGACAATAAATATATAGACACTGGATTTCTGTTCGGTAACGGCTGGGTCATGACGGAGGCTCACAACCTCCAAGACGGCCCTGAACAAAACAAAAGTATTCATAACTTCATCCGAAATGCAAGATATAATGTTACCCGTCACGTTCAAACTCCCGATTAACCGGCTGCAGAGTACGTATTTCCAATTCAGAAGGGAATGGCGTTCCCACCGGCGGGAGATGATGTAAATTTTAAAACAAAGCTTTTGCTTTCGTGAAGCTGGGAGTTCCGTATGAATAAAGAAGACAAGAAGATTCGTACAGTTCTTGGGATAAGAGAGAGAAGGATAACCTTGATATAATTTACAAGGTTGCATCGCCACTTGTTCAAGCCTCATCACCACCACAACCAAACCGAGGCAAGTCTGTGTATTCTGTCTATTATCAAGAAAGCAGTAGTAAAATGGAATTTAGAGATATAAAAGAGGGACAAGTGAGTAAGACCTTCCCGAGCAGATTACCACTGCTTCACTCTGAAAGGGACGACAGGGTGCTAGGTCTGGTGCTGGTGCTAGCTCTGGTGCTGGTGCCGGTACTGGTGCTGGTACTGGTGCCGGTGCTGGTGCTAATGTTGGTGCTAATGTTGGTGCTAGCGCTCAAGCTGGTGCAGGCCATGGTGTTAGTGTTGATATTGCTACTGTTGTTGGTGTACCAGTTGGTTTTGATATTGGTTTTGGAATTGGACCAGGTGACACTGACAGTGACGGTAACGTTGATAATCATTTTGACGTTGACCTTGATGCCGACATTGACGTGGACATCGATGATAACAGTGACAGTGTCGGTGATGACAATGGTGATAGAAGTGGTGGTGGAACTGAGGCCTTACAATGGAAAAAAGTTTTCCAAGATTTTGCTCAAGCAGTGGTCTCCATCATAGGAGCGATAAGATCTTATTATTAGCGAAGGAACTGACTTACAGAAAGATCATACAGAGGATTGAATAAACAGTAGGAAAAGGCAGTTACCTTTTTATTTGTTTGATGGCAACGTAATTAACGAAGTTACGTAGCCATTTTGAAATGTAGATGTTAGTGATTATAGCTCTACAGAGGCGACCATTAAATCTCAAACTGCACAGAGAAAATATTTGTTAGCCATAGCTCCATATATATATTTCATAATCGCATCAATTTTCGAAAGATCAGGTTTGTTTCATCTGAGAAAGTGTAGTATTCAGAAACTCATGTAGATTACCTAGTATCATGCTACAAACGTCTGTAAACATAAACACCTACAGAAGGTAATTTCTGTAATAAGTTTACCCATATACTGTTGCAACGGGAATTAGGTGTTGGTGATAAGTTTCTGTATATTGTTCTGTCTGCTCGGTTTAGCTCAGGCTTTTAGTTCTAAGATGCCTATCAAGGAATGAAACGAAATATCCTCAGTTGATCTTCAGTCTTCAAAGAAACGGAAGGAGGCAGGATCTTTCAAGTTCATGGGACAAAGCTCAGGCTGTGGAATGGAATTCCTCTAGAAATACGTAAGGACGCTATAAATCCTCTAGTTCAGCCATGAAAAAAACATTTTTTAGCATAGTGTTGTGAATAGAGATATCTATCTGTTTTGAATTAATTTTTTTTATAAATTTTTAACTGTAGATGATAAATGTTTTGCGATTAATATTCATGCTTTGTACTCTTCTAAGTTGTTTCATGATCACTCGGTAGATTTTTAGCACAGAATGCCACTAGTTCATTGGTCAAACTGTCTTGTTTTACCCTCTCTTAATAAAAATCTACCCGGATAGATCATTTCAGGAGAAATGGTTTATCGGATAGTTCAAGGCAGTTATGGCCGTTCTGAAGAATTACGGACGAATGTGTGGCTCATTTCCCCCTACAATTGTATTTAAAGTCATGAACGAAAACAATTTTACTTAATTCATTTGAAAACAAATACTTGTGTGGGGTTTTTGTCAAGGAAAACTTGTTAGATTGTGATTTCCCTCTAGCTAAGTCTGTTTTGATGGAAGCCATCTAAATAACAAAAGTTTCTGTATGTTGTACTTACTGCAACGTCCTTCTTCAGTAAAAAAAAAAACTTTTTTCATACCAGAATAAGAACGAAAGTCCTATTTGCCAGGTCGTTGAACAAAGAAAGATTCCATTGGTTTTTTGCAATCGGTAAGAGAGAGGAAAAATTGAGTTTGCCAAGCAAACAACCTCGACGTTGCGATCCGCCGCCCTAAGCACTAGCTACAGAGAACCTGTTGGTGGAAAAAACCCATATTCTACGTTCGAATATGACAATGGTCCTGTATCTACTACGGTCAGCTATATGAGAAAGTAGAAAGAGAAACGTTTGGACTCCGGCAGCAGATACGTCACGAATTTAAGAAAATATACGACATTTTTTAAAAACATTTTTCGAAAGTTCCTCTGTCATCTTCAGTTCTGATTTACATAAATTACAAAGTTGAATTTAAAGTGTATAACAAAATGCTCATTGAAAAAAAACAAACAATAATAAGATATTATTACAGCAAAGTTTTAAATTAACATAATAAAGTTGATGATTTAGTGTAGGTTGCTCCCATCGAATGCGAATAGCTTCTTTGATTTTAGATTGGAGAGTTGTGGAAACGTTATGTAAGGTGCTAAAACACTCATCAGAACATAGGGTGCGACATTGTTAAGAATTTGGAAAAAGAGAAAGGTGTGAATTAATGAGGTCAGTTGAAGATCTGAAGGGGATATCTGAACGGACGATACCTCGTGACAAATCGGACGACATTTGAAGCCGATTTCTAAGAATCCTCCTTGTCAAGCAAAAGAGGAAAAAATTTTGAAACAGGAAGTCGCCGTACTGTCGATCAGTAGGAATGAACTCAATCTTTCTCCTTGATGTTGACGTACATGACGTCATTTTGAGTCACGTGACGTTTGTCACGATCTGAACGATAGAGGACCAACTGGAAGCAGCTGTGGCCTTTACGTAATAACGTGTGGTGCTAAGCACATTTCTTCTTTACGTTCATATTCTTCGAAGCTTCATCCATCTGTTTCGTAATCGTGTTAAAGTTACTGACCAGGGAAGCGACTATGTCGACAAATCCATCGGGGAATCAACCGCCATACCCTAATCAGCAACCAACGAGTCAATATCCCCCTGCCATGTTCAACTATGGCTCTTCTGCCGTTGGCTACCCTCCGCCTTCTAACCAAGCTGCTTATCCCCCGCCGGTTGAAACAGTGCCTTACAATGCACCTTACCCCGCTACAGCTCCTCCACCGTCTTATGAATCGGCTGTCGGTGGTGGAAAATCAGAGAAAACGCCCGGGAATTCCTCGTATCAATCGCAACCATTTCCAGCAGCTCCAATGACAAGCTACCCGACTTACCCTTCATCGTACCCTGACGTAGAATATGGGCAAACAGATGCATCGCACTTCTCTGAGATCATCAGTTTTAATGACAAATCCATAAGGCTTGGTAAGGTTTATTTACTTATTTCTTTTTTATGACCGATATCTCTAACAGTATTTCGTTCAACCGAACCACGTCTCAGCTTCCTTCTAAATATTACTCATAACGTCATGTATTGTTACGGTACTCGAAAGTGAAATTTGTGCTCTAGTTTCCCCTCAGTTAATTTGGATTTCATCTTATCATAAAGAGTATACATGACTGTCGTTTCAAAATTTGCCATTCACTCTTTGGTTTAAAATACGATTTGTTGCAAAACATCGGTCAAAATATAATGTAAACAAGCTTATATCAGAGGCACATAAGGCAATATTAATATATTGCTGTCGATTTAAATTTGGTGATGTAGTTCATTGTTTTTTGTTCCTATCATTTTAGTAAAATCGTCGATTTCAGAATTATGAATTGATTAATTCACATCATGTACCCGATGTTCATGTAGATGTGTAGGAATAACTCCCAGAATATTGGACAATTGGCATGTTACAGTAATTTATTACTAAGCATAGTCATGTGTTTAGGCGTGTGGCGAAAAAATTGTCGTACATAATTCTTACATTGATTGGCATAATAAAGTTTAACTTATTATCATTTATATTTCATTTGTTAGAAATCAAGTTTACAATTAAAACTAGTATAACTGAAACTAGTTTCAGTTGAGTCCATTATAATTAGGGCAACACCATACCAATTGGCAAACACGTGTTCTGATGTCGATTAGTTTTTGAGTTAACCCTTTACCTCCCATGAGTGACTAAGAGAGAATTTCTCCTTACAATATCAATAAAATATCAAGCTTAAAAGTGATGAGAATAAAGTAAAATATCAATGAAGGGATTATTAATTGATCCAATACCAAATTCTCCAAATTTACATCATAAGAAATGTATGACAGACAGTACGGAGAATTGCTAATGAGATCTTGGGAGTTAAAGGGTTAATGATAATATTATTAGATCTAGAATTACTTAGCACAAAGAATATGCTTGAAGAAAATGGCCCAGTAGGTAAAAAGTTATTGTGGGATGTATTTGGGAATAAATGAGTATGTTCAGACAAAAATTGTAATAAATGAATAACTATTGAATAAAATTAATATTATAATAACTGAAGTCATAGAATTGACATTGTTTTAACTTAAGCACAGTGAATGTACTCCTTTTAAAGCAATTATATCCTTATATTTTTTATACTAAGATAAGTCTTGTGTATTAATTAAAAATTTTTTTCTTTCACTGGATATGGCTTGTGTCATGCACAGGATTTATCAGACGGGTGAGTACACACACAGTTCATTATTTTTTAGCAGCTCATAAGTTGTAGCATCTCTCATTATTGGAAATTTTGAAAATTTTCAGACAAAATGCCCATGAATTTGGTAACAACATGTATAAGAAAGTGTATGTGATTTATAAAAACTTGCAAAGACTGTAAGCTATCAAGTGGTTTATAGGGAGAGTTAAAATTGTGTCAAGTGCATCATTCATGTCTGCTACTGTTTTGAATTATTGTTGTACCTCTAAAAAATTCCAGACTTAAAATGAAACATTTTCTAACTATAGTCCCATTTTTGTAAAGAAAAATTCAGAGGGTGATGAACAATTTTAATAACTACACAAGACACTCTAACCTGTGAGTGAAAGGACCAAGGGCTACTGTGATGACCAGCATCTAATTTCTCCCCACAATATCACCCCTGAGTCAAACATTAAGGTCACAAGAATAAAGGCAATGATCATCAACTAAAGAAACTCTTGATTGTTATACAAATTCTCTTTGTCAGCACTCTAGGAAATGTATAAAAACAGTATGGAGAATATTCATACTGATATTAGGGTGTAATGGGTTTTAAAAAAAAAAAGAGATCAAATTTGAATGTGATTTTGGATTTTAAATTGTAAAATTGATCTTTTTTTTTTCTTTGACAGGTTTTTGCTGTGCTTATGCTGCAACTAGCAACAACTGTTGGAGCGATTTGTTTGTTCATATTCAAGTAAGAAGTTTTCTTTTTTATGTTGTGGATCTCAGATCATTCAAATTATACACTTTTAATAACACATTACAAAGAGTTGAAAAATTTAAGTTACCAGAAATTAAAAATGTATCATCATTAAACATTTTCACAACATGTAGTATAATTAACAATTTTAGAACTGAATATGAACTCCTATTACAGTTTTTCACTCAACATGGTTAGTCTAGGCTATTAAAAACTTTAATATTAAGATCTCATCAGGAAATATCTCCATTATTCTCTGCCATACAATTCTTATGATGTTTCTTTGGAGAAATTATTATCGAATCAACTTCCAGTATATAAGCCCCTTAGTGATAATTGTCTTCAGTTGGTCACTCATGGGAGTTGAAGGGTGTAAACCTGGATTAGAGATTTATGATTAATCAATTTTTTGTGTGTGGAACAAGAATATTATCTCAGAGGCAAAGCAGTGAACCTTGGCAATATTGAAAGTGTAATCTTGTCAGATACAAATAGAAAATCAAATTTTGCTTGACACTATATCAAATATACGGGATTCCTGTCATCATTTCACATGTTTGCAATAAATGAACAGCTACAGAATTTCTTATGCAAACATTGTTGTTCTCTTTTGCAGTCACAATGTTAAAAATTTTGCACAAAATAATTGGGCCATGTATACTTCTGCATAGTAAGTAAATGTGTTTTAATTAACCACCTTTGTGTAAATGTTTCAAGTATATTCTCAATATTGTTGCTTAAAAAACATGTAAAATAAAATATGGTTTGATGCTACTCTGGTTTACAGATTTATTAAATGTAACCGAAGAAGTTACAATTCATAGACCCAATGCTTTAACACTCCTGTCTAGTGCCTTCATCAGGGGCAATCTAAACACTGCAACAAGAGGTCCTTTTATACAAACGTCAGTTTGGTACATGTTTGAAAGAGCATCAAAAGCAATGTTATTTCACAAAAAAGAAACTTCAGCTTTATTGGAGCACACATGCGTAACTAACCATACAATTGGGTAGGATAAGTCTAAAATTATCACCACTAATCAGCATTACCACCAGCACCTTTGTTTGGAAGCTTTGCATATTAACTCTACCCATGCTCATTTAAATTGTGATGATGTTAGCTTACTTCCTGATGCCTATTTACACCTTGTCAGAAAAAAGGCAGCTAATTAGTGATTGTATAAAAGGACCTCTTGTTGCAGCATTTAGATCACCCTCCATGAAAGGACTAGACAGGAGTGTCGAAACATTGGGTCTATGAACTATAACTTCTTCGGTTACATTCATCAAATCTTTAAACCAGAGTAGCATCAAACCATGTCTGATTGTCCACCTGGTTGCCATGTGAACTTTAATATAAAGTAAAATCAAATATCAAATGAAGGCAAACTCTCATCTTGAATTCCAACTGACTTGTCTGTTTGGTTTCATTTCAGTGTGGTGTTCTTTGTGTTGTATTTTGTCTTGGTCTGTTGTGAGGGAGTAAGGTGAGTTTAAGAAAATAGTTAGTTTTAAGTACTGTTGTGCTTAATACATTTATAAAGTCATGTTGTTAAGCTTATGTATATAAATATATATCACAGTTTTGATGTTTTTTTTCTGTCTGTTAGGAGGAGCTATCCAGCCAATGTTATTATGCTTTCTCTCTTTGTAAGTATGATAAAGTAATGAAAAAAAAAATCAAGAAATTGCCCCTTGTTTGAGATACAAGAGTTAACATAGAGTTATTTTCATAAATTGGACATCAATTAATTTACATTATAATATTAAATGTTTTCTTTTCTTCCAGACATTATCTTTGTCTTACCTCGTCGCAGTGATTTCCAGGTAGGAAATTTCAACTTTGATTCAAGAATAAAATTGAGTTTACAAATCTGAAATTTTCCAATATTTGTGATATTTTATGACTTTGCATTCAATTTTTGCTCTTCTTGTGAAAGTGTTAGGCAAATAATACATAGAATTTTGAGGATTCTGATCTTAGGTATTACACCGATTCACAGTTCCTAAGCTCCATCTCATTTAACCCTTTAACTCTCATGAGTGATCAAGATAGAATTTCTCCTTACAATATCAATACAAGATCAATCAGATAAGTGATGAGAATAAAGAAAAATATCACGTTGGCGATAATTAGTTGATCCAATGCTAATTTCTCTGAACTAACATTATAAGAATTGACTGTACAGTTGATAGTAAGGAGAATGACAAATTTGATCTGGGAGTGAAAGGGTTAACATTGCACAATAAAGATATTGAATTATTGGGTTATTTTTTTACTAATTTACAGTGTTTTTTTTAATCTATGACCTTCAAATAAAAAATACATTAATTTGATCTGATTAAATTTGATGATATAATAGTTCCAATGAAAATGTTTTGTATTAAACTTGGGTTCCCAGAAATGTGGGATGAAAGAGTTTAATCCACAAATAGAATATATTAATTTTGAAGTTATTAACAATGCTGGTCAAGTTGCTTGAATTGAATACCCCCTCATGGTACCTTTGAGCCTCAGTTTCAGTAAAGAATAAGTTTTTGTAGATGTAATTATAGTTCTACTTGTTAATCAATCTTGTACAAAAATTATTGATTATCATTTGTGTTGTCAAACTTGCAGCTTCCATGAGACCAACATTGTGTTAATCATGATGGGAGTGACCACTGTAAGTTATTTTGGATGCCACATTTAATTAACAAAATTTTCAGATAATCCTTACAAATACCAGGGAACTGAAAGACAAAGTCTTTGAGACTTTCAAATGAATGCATTGGAGAGTCAATGCCAGTCTGTCTAGGATAACATGAATCCAAGTAATGCTCCCTCATGGATAGGTTGCTGGTTTAGTCCCCCGTAGACGACCCCCCCCCTCCCCTTAATTCTTTATCACATAAGAGTGACTAGCATCTAATTTCTCCCCACAATATCTGACCTGAATCAAACATTAAGGTCACAAGAATTAAGGGAATGATCATCAACTAAATAAGCTCTTGATTGTTAAACAAATTCTCCTCATGAGCACCTTTGGAAATTTATAGGAAACAGTGTAGAGAAAATGCACAATGATGACAGGGTGTAAAAAAGAAATGGTTAATAAAAGTTCCTAGGGGGGAGAGAGGCATTGTGAGTGCTCGGAGTCTTGTTAAAGAATGCAAAGAATGACCCACTCAGGGCCTCCCACTAAAAGGTTCTTAAGATGCCCACACAGTTTGTTGATATGGGTCTGAGAGGGCCACTGTGGGAACTGAAAGTCTTTCCCCAAGAGCCCAGGGTCTCCTCCTCCAACAAAGAAGTCCTCTCAAGTTACCCTGTTTGTTTGTTGTCAGTGTGAGAGCTAAAATGGTTCTGCTTAAGAACACAACATAATAGAGTCCACCATTGTTTCAAGTATACCTTAAAGCATAATTATACTCAGATGTACAATGTAATTAATGAAATTATTTCTTAGAGCTAACACTTTGTTTTTCAGCTGGTCTGTGCTTCTGTTATGATCTTTGCCTGTCAGACCAAGGTAAGTCTTGCTGTCAATTAACATTTTTGTTAACTTTTTCATGGATGATAATAAATTTTGCAATTGCAGCATGCAATTACACAACTACAATACTAACAGAAACCCTAATTTGGGGCTCTAACATCTAATTATGTCAATAGTTTTTTTGAATGTTACACCATGTCTTGGCTTTTTCTCTTTTAATTATTCTTAAATAAGCCATGGAGTCTTGTCGCTTGTTGTGAATTATTTTTTACTAAACAAAATGAACTAAGATCATTTTGTTGACGAGAACCAAGGGCAACATGTTTTAAAGTTAAACATGAATGTTGAGAATATAGTCTAGGCAAAAATTTAACATTTATGGTTTTTTAAATTTTTTTCCATAGTATGACTTCACCACATGGGGTGGAGTGCTTTTCTGTGCAGCTCTGGCCATTTTCTTTCTCAGTATCTTCACTCCCCTTTGGTTGGCACTTTCAACAACGGTATGTGTGATCATGCATTCAAGAGTGTCGTTAGGAGAGGTCCTGGGGTGTGCATGACCCCCCCCCCCTCCCTTCCCC